TTCTGCCTCAGTACCCGATCGAGCAACGACACGTTGTTTTTGTGATGTCCAACAAATCAAATTTGCTCCATGAAATATGTCACATCCATATTGAGATCTGCTATCATCCTTATCTGATATCTAATTAGAGTCAGGGTATGCTAGAGGTGAGGTTGCCTTGTGTGGTTTGAAGTGAAGACAATGATGTAATGTATCGTTCAAATATCGCAATATTCATTTAACCGCCTGTCAATGTAAGGTAGTGGGTGCATGCATGAATTAGCATACTCGGTTAACTGCATGGGATGTGGGTATGTGAAGACACAAATACCCTTTGTGAGAAGCACTGTATCCTAAAAATACACTGGGAAGTGAACGGAAGTCCATTTTATGAGAGTTGTATGGGCGTAAGAAGGGATAACAAAGGCATCTGAATGTTCGAAGAAAGGCATAATCAGGATCCTTTTTGTAGAGAAAGGAATAAGGAGAAGAATATTTTAGTGTTGGAGTAATGGTTCGGTTATGTAGGTAGGTTGAGGTTTTAAAGGCATGTTTCCAGTATTCCTGTGGGAGGGATGATTGAGCTAGTAAAGATAAGTCTTTTTCAATAATTACTCTATTTCTACGTTCCACGTCTCCATTTTGTTCAGATGTGTATGGACAGGAAACTCTATGAGTAATACCACAAGTTTGGAGGTAATTAGAAACAGGACAAAATTCACCACCCTAATTAGATTGAACACATTTTATGTCAGAATCAAAATGTGTTTTGATCATAGTGCGAAAGTTGATAAAAGTTTGTAAAACTTGGGATTTGTGAGAAAAAAAAATAGATCCAAATAAATTTTGTATAATCATCAACAAATAAAAGAAAATAACGATTTCCATTTATTGATAATAAAGGGGATGGACCCCAAACATCTGAATACAATAATTCAAATGGTTTAGAACAGGAAACATGAGTAGATGAAAGGGGAAATCTATGATTTTTTCCCAATTGGAAAGATTCACAGACTGATGACAATTTATTTGTGGATATTAGAAGCTGAAACTGAGAAACAAGTCGGCGAAGTATTCGTCATGAGGGTGAGCGAGACGGTTATGCCATCCAGCTAAGGAGGTACACACAGGAGAGAGCTATGGTAGACGACTTGGTATGTTGAGGAAGAGCTAAACGGTAAAGACCATTTTCAATGCTGCCTTGGATGATTGGTTTGCCCTGTAAGATCTTAACAACACAATGATTAGGCCAAAATTCCATGAAGACGTTATTATCATGTGTTAGTTGAGACACATTGAGAAGATTTTTAATTAAACGAGGAACAACAAACACTTTAGGTAAACGCAATGAAGATAATGAAGTAGAGCCAGAATGAGTAATAAGTAAGTGGTTACCATTGGCAACTTACAATTTGTTGTCTTCAGTGTGTGGTTCTGTGATATGCAACTTTTTGGGATCAGAAGTAACATGATCGGTCGCTCCTGAGTCGAAGTACCAGGAAGGGTCCATGACAGTTGATGGACTGGGGTAGCTTGCAAGATGAGCCTAGCGAGGTTGATCACGAGGAGTGGGACAACGAGAAGGGTAGTCAATTTGATTACCCCGTTGCCAACAGTTGATGGCTTCATGGCCTGGTTTATTGCACAGTTGGCAATCCAGACGATGATGACAACTATCAAACCCACGATAGTGAGAATTTTGTTGGTGAGTTGTGGTATGGAAGTAGGAATAGGTTTGGTTGTGAGAAACTTGATTTGCCATCAGGAAAGAGGTGGGATGAGTAGAAGTGGATGTCGAAAGTTGGGTGGCGGCTTGACGAGCAAGGTCCTGATTAATACGGGCTTATTCTTGAAGAAGTAGGCCAAATAGGTCATCGATAGAAGTGGTGTCAGATTTCATGAGAAAAGCATAAACAAAGTGGTTAGGAAGAGTCATGACCATTGATGATGTAGGTAATGAGGTCGTCTTCAAAGAAACAGGGGTGAGATTTTCAGCCAAAAAGTCTTCAATCTGGCGTTTCTTTTCAAGGTAGTCGATCACAGATAATGACCCTTTGGAGAGCGATTGAAGTCGAGTTTTGAGGGTCATCCTCTATGCACAAGTGTGAGCTTGAAAAAATCGTTCTAGGGTTTTCCACGCCTGTTGGAGGATGATGATCTAGCAACGGTAGCAAGCGATCGATCAAATAGGGTGGATTTCATCCAAAGGAGAACAAACTAGTCCTACTTTTTCCAGGTAGCAAACATTGGATTTGGAACAGAGGTTACATTCTTAGCGGTTGGAGCATCAGTAACAGTAGGGAGAGCAATAGTTTCTGGTGGTGGGAGTGGATTAAGAACAAAGGACTCAAGATCAAAGCATTCTAGGGCAGAGATAATGGTGGTGCGCCAAAGAGGGTAGTTGTCTCGATCTAGCTTGATGTTGAGAGTAGGAATTTGGAAGTGAGGTTGGTGGAGACGATTTGAGTCGCAGCAAGAAGTTGCTGGTTGGTGGCGGACATGGTGGAATCATAAAGCCCACAGGCTGATACCATATAGAGACGAGAGAATACAATTGAAATTTGATGTTGTATATGATTGATGAGAATTACATGTGTATACAGAAAGAAAGTAACCTAACGTCTGGTAAATGAGCACTAGTACCACGTGACTATAATACCCAAAGAAAAGGACTAGAAGACTAATTCTCTTGAGTAAGTTATTAGTCCTTAAGGTAGCGTTTGTTGTGTGGTACAGGATGGAACAAAACACAACTAGAACTCTTGAGAGGGTGTTTGGCGTTGATGGAACAAGAACAAGAAATATTTTTGATCAAGTCCAATGGGACTAATTCTTAAATTTTTAGTCCCACCCAAAAGGATGGAACTGAGCGGAACACAAACTTTTTTTTTCCGGTAGATTTACTCTTTCGATATTGATCTCCTTTGTGTTTATCCTCATCATCACGTCTTAATAATAATATCATATTTTTTGTCTTTTCCTTCGACATCTTTGCTACACCTTCTTCACAAATATCACGCAGTGCTTACTATCGTCTCTCTTCATGCGTATCATCAGTAATCACATTTATGATTTTCTCTTTACTTAACTCAATGGAACTTTAGTTACCAATTTGTTTCAAATTGAGGCTTATTTATTTTATTGTATCTTGAGAATTACCAAAAAGCTACGATTCTATAAACTTAAACCTATTGTTTTAATAAAATAGATAGCTAAAGTCACCGACTTAATGTTTTTGGAAAAACGCTATCAATCTTTAAGCAATATTCTATAATTTTCATGTTGACCTCCATTTTTACATTGAACTATGTTGCAGAGTGTGTTAATCAGTATTCTACCAGCCCTGTAATTGTTATCTTGACATCTAATTTAAGTTCATATAACCCTCTTGTGGCTTATAATGTAATTTTTATATTGACATAATGCAACTGTAGCTTATACATTTAATCCAATTGTATGCATTTAATTGTGTTTCAACAAGATATTTATATTAACATCAGTATTAGTATTTTTTTGAATTTATGGAATTATAAACAATTTGTGGGAATCTTTTTATTAATTTTGAAATGATTCATGTTTAGTTAAATTTTTAGTCTTTCCTATACATAAGGGGTAACTTTTAGGTGTTGTTTGTTCATTTCTAGTTTTAACAAACATTTTATGGTAACTTGTTCCGTTCTGTTCCAGTCTTACCAAACACTATATAAAAAATTAGTCCAGTCCTGTTCAGCCCAGTCCAATTCTGTTCAATCCTATCCAATCCAGTTCTATTGCCAAACGCTGCCTAAGATTTCTATGACAATGCATGGAGGTAGGAAAACGATAAGTATTCAAAGTGTGATTATGATTAAGAGAAGAAAGCCCCTTTTTGACTATCTATCTATAACGGGGGGAGTTCTCTGAAAGCAAGGGAGCGGATAATAGCCCCAGACAATTGAGGGGAAAGAGTTTGTTGTTGCGTCCCATGCAGTGTCATTAAAGCCAGTAAAGGTAAAGAGAGAAGGTGTCATTGTTGATTATTCTTATTCGAATGAGAAACTAACTCCAAACGAGTCTCTGGGATATGAGCAAAAGGTAAGAGATCAAACCGTTTTTGCCGCTGCTTCAGGATAAAGGGATTCTCACTCCAAGTAGGGAATTTTCTCAATAATAGGATAGATGAGTCTCGGAAGTCATAACAAGGCCCTAGCATCTATGCCAAGTGAAGCCTCATGAAGAGAGCGGACACTCTTGGAACAGCTGGAGTAAGAAGTCCCCAAGTGAGCGTTAGGATTGAGGTTATCACCAAAAGGGTATATAAATTGGTGTCGTCTGTTTACAGACACAAACAATTATTTTCACATTCAAATGTAAAATATGCAAATATATATATATATATATATATATATATATATATATATATATATATATATATATATATATATATATATATAAAAATTAGGGACAAATCAAGATTTAAAGTATCCAAAGTTGAGCAAGATAAGGTTGTGTTCTTATAAATTATATAAGTATCCAAAGTTGAACAAGACATTTTATTCCATTTGTCCCGGGATTAGTTTTGACTTTTTGATTTTTGATCGAATAGGATTGCATATCACATGCTAACCCGATATTTGGTTCACATTATATTTTGGAATGAATTAAAATATTATTAAACATAATGCTCTTAAAAAAGATAAAGGCCGATTCAAAGCAATTTGAATTAAAAAAGAAATAAAATATCCGAATAAATTCTAATATGCATGCTTGATTAGACGGAAATGTAACTTATTAAATAATATCCTTTGCTACTCTCTTTGGTTTGTAAATCTATCAAAGAAATTTAAATGTAAATTATGTCTCTTTGGTTTGTAAATCTATCAAAGAAATTTAAATGTAAATTATGTTAAAAAGAAAGAATGTGTTTGTGTTTTTAGCTCACAAAGGAATTCAATTCTTACCACCCACTTTAGGAATAATAAAGATCCCTCGAAAACATGGATTTCAAAAGAATCTCTTGGAATACAATTCCGTTGGTTTGGCCACCAGCTTCAAGACTCCAATTCCTTCAGATTTTGCAACCAAACACGCCCTAAAGAAATTGAAATATGTCATATTTGGTTGCATGGTTGATAGCAAATGGAATGGAAATTGCTAGCGAAAAGATGGAAAGCTAATATAGAGGCGAAGGTTAAAAGAGGTATCTGAGTATTCTTCTAACAAGAAGGGGCTGCTGAAAATTGCATACATAATGAATGGAACGTTGAAATCCACTAGTCAAAGAATTTTATCAAGGCCAACAGAATTCAACTTCGTACTCAATACACAAATGGAACTAAATTTCGATTTCAGCCAAATCCAATGAAACTAGAATTCTCATTTGTTGATAAACATTCACAAAAAACAAAAAACAAAAAAAAAAAAAAAAAGCATTTCAAATGTGGACACCTCAAGTAGTTTCGTTTTTTGGTTGTTGGTCTACCACCGGGGGCAAGAGAAGGGCAAGACGGTCTTTGTACCTTTCGATTCTTTGTAGCCTTTGATTTCTTAATCTGCAAATAACAAGATGCCTTATTAATGTCCATTAAGTCAATGTCTGACTTTTGAGAGTCAACTGAGTTAAAAATTAAGAAAGCATACCTCATTCGGACCTTCTTAGCATGCTTAACATGCTGTTGCAACAGCTCCTTAGCAGATAAATGCTCAACATCTTCCATTTTCTGAGACCATGTAAGGGGAAATATGTCATTTCTTAGTGACACGTGTCTACATATATACACGGTAGAAAACGAAGTTACGTATATCTTTTCATCCGGAAGAGATGAGGGTAAAAGAGAGAACGCACAAAGCATTCAAAGGTTTACATACTTTCTAGATGTTGGTGTCCCTCTACTCCAAAACATTGGTCTTTCATGCTTTGCATTCATTCATTATAAAATCTTATCCCATTTTTGCCCTTAGAAGTTATTTAACATCATGTTCTTCATAAGTGAGCAACATTAATTATGTGTTTTTAACAAAAAAGTACTATTTGATAGCTCCTCAAGTAGGTACATGAACAACTAATGTTCTTGTAGATAAATGTTTGTTTACGCATCAAACATATTATTACCTTTTTTTTTTTTTTTTGCCAAACTGGTTTTTTTAGACAAAATATGTAACTATGTTTCAATACAAATCGTTTAACTTGTTATAACATGGTTGCATAATTCGTGTTAGTTGCATAAACTGGTAGAGAACTGAAAATTAGTCGCAATAAGATAGAAACCAGGCTCATCTGATTTCAAAAACAGCACAATGATTGAACTAACTTTACTATTAGAAGGAAGTTTCAAACATGATCATATACAAGTTCACGAAACGACTCTTTATCAATTTTTAAAAATGGAAATTTAGGAGGCAAATTAACATTTTTAATTTCTAATGCAATCGAATCTCATTTCAAAAAATGGAGCAATGTACTTTCATTAATGTATTTATTCTAACATCCTACTTCCATTTCTTCCTATTAAAGTATTAAACCATTGTACTTTGAAATATCTACCCAATTTACAACAATGTCGTCAAAATACAACCAACGTAATTTTCAGTTGTATACTTGGTAGATTTATTTTAAGTATTAATCTCTTAATAAGAAAAACTTAAAAAGTACGATGCTATATTTGGGTAGATTTATCAATGTACGTCTTATTAAGAAAAAAACTGAAAGCTGGATGCTTTAAAAAAGATAAGGTAAGATGCTATCACTTACAAATAAATGAGAGTAGGTTGTTATTCCTTGCATTTAGCTTAAAACAAAACTACAAAAGTGAGAGTACATACCTCCTCCATCTCCATATCGTCCTCCTTTGTTGCTTCTACCATGGATGCAGGCAACGGCTTTGGAAGAGACTTGACACAATCGACATATTGTGGCTGTCAACAAAGGTTAACTCTATAAGACACAATAACACACATACATGAGACTAGACAAGCTTTCTAGGACTATTTAAGCATTTTTATGATGAAGATGAGAAGGGCAGGGGCAGTCATGTCTTTTTCACAAACGTGCTACGTAGCAATGCGGCGATATTGACTGTTTAGCAACCACATAGCGGGCTTTATTGCTTTTTTATCTTTTTTTTCCTTTTTAATGATATAAATAGATGTAATTAGGTTTGAACGTTAATCAAGTCAGACAATTTGTTCACAACCTTCGCTTCTGAATTCTAACCATCGGTTAGGTTAGGTGTTTTGGGCCTCGATCAATTTGTTCTTGGTCTCCATTAACTATTGGTACAATTAGTTGTTTCCCAATGGATATCAGTTAATTGGTTGTGGGTATGATGCCACTAAATCTATTCAAACGTTTGATATGGAATTGATCCCTCAGGATGCTTAATCAAGATATTTATGTACCAGCGGACTGCAAAATCCTCCATACACATTTATGCTAAAGTAGAGCTTGTTATTTTGCGGGTATGGTGCACTTGGAAGTAGAGTTCAACCTTGGTCACCCATCCTTAAGAATCCTCATCATCAAAGACCGGTAGTTTGACTTTGGGAAATGAGAAAAGTGATGCTTCCAGATGTGGAGGATTGTGGATAGGGTCTGGACGTCGAGGAAGGAGTTTGCTGGAACCAAAGGCGGTGATGGTGATGATAGGGGGGTGAGAGTGATGAGACTCAACCTCATCAGGATCCTAAGATGACCTGCCTTCGTTGTTGAATCTGAACACCTTGCTTCAACTACTCTATGGAACGAGAAATCTCATTCAAAATATCTATGTTGACAAAGAAAGAGAGTTCATCGAGTTGCATGGATAAGGATCGATTCTTCCATCGTGAGATTCAATACGGGTTTGGAGGGCCTGGAGACGGGTTGTCACTTGAGGTTTTGTAGATTGCACCATTGATAAGATGCAGGAAGAAGGAAGGCAGTGGAACCAATTGTTAAAATATCTACAAGGAAAATGTAATAGAATAGGGAGAACAACTACGTAACAATGAATTCAAAATGGAGAGGAAAGCTTTAAATTCAAATCAAATGAAAACATATACAAATCAATTCTCACTGAGAGAAGAACCCTTCTCTTGTATACTATCCATGGGTCTATTAGGTTCCTTTGTAGTGGGCTAAGGTTATAGACCTTATCAATGTCAATTTTTATCCCACGAGCAAAGGTGGAGCAAGATGATCTCTTGTCTGTGCAAAAGACATGGATGCCCCTCGTCAACCTCATTATTGAAAATATCCTACAAAGCTTCTCTAGTTCAATCGTGTTCCCAGTAGCAAATCAAATGGGAAATAGGAGTTGGTGGAGGATGCCAGGATGGCCCATATGCCCTTTTTCGAAAAAGATATGATGTGGGCCATTTTCTCTGTGTGAATTTTTGTTTGCAAATTAAAAAAATAAGAATAGAACTTATGAGATGCTAGCCATAAAAAATACCTGATTTTCCAAAGTAAATCCATTCTTTAACCACGACCGACATTGAGCATAAAGAGAAGTGCCCTCAACAACTTGAACCTGTTTTGTTTAAAACAGTAGCAGCAACAAATAACATCATGAGTAGATTTAGAATATGAAAAGTCTTCATAAGATCACACAAAGAAGCTTTTATAGCGTGAACTAAATAGCTATTAGCATATTACACATTAGTTGTATGCTAAAAGACCTTTGTGATTATTTTAATATCTCAAGTTCATCATAATCTCTTCAATTCTAGTCGAATAACTAAGCAAGTAGAAGCAAATTTGATTTGCATGGCCTAATTGTTTATGCAGTACATACCACCAACTTGACTCAGTCTTCTACATCTGTTGACCTGACTAATGAAACATCCAACTGTGCTTGCATATATGTGTAGTAAATTGTAACGATACACCTGTGCATTAAACTACTCAAAGACGGTATATCAAAATGCCCCAATGAATTTATGAGCTCAAAACATGTTGTATCACTATTTTCACACAATAAACGTAATAGGAAGTATTGGAACACTAATTTTAGTATCTTCAACATTATGTTGTTAATATATAATATGAATTTAATTTGTCAAAAATATTTTGCTTGCATCCGCCTATTCTATATTTTATTCAAAAATTCTATGATAATTTATATGGGAACTGTTGGCTGTGATATTGGCAATGACTGTATATACGCAAATGTTTCTTAATGCAACATGCACTAGAGCCCTTTGAAGTAATATTCACATTTTCACTTTCTATTGATTTATGTATGTATTCTAGTGAGCCAACTTATTATGAAGCTATCAATTTGAACATTGCTAGACTAATATGAAAAGTACCTTTTCTTTGTATATATTCCAAAAGAAGGATAACTAGTATGCACTAACTAGCAAATATATTTATTTATAGGCAGAAACAAATGATATATTTTGGTTGATTTATGCCACAAACATTATAAAATAATTTAAATTCCTTTGCATAAAAAACAAAAGCAATTCAAACAAGTATAAATCATAATCTCAAAAGATGTAATGAAGTAATTCAAACAAGAACTCATCTATGCATGCATGACATGTGCAGAATTTAACTACTGTACATTTTTTTTCTGAAGTTATATGTTTGTTGTTTGTTCATGGAATACCCACAATGTAGGTGCCGTTTCTTTTTTATTTAATGTAGAAAGAATAAGTTAATATTAGGAGGGAAGGTTGTTTTCCCATTAAGTCCTACTTTTTACAGGTTGCGCTCATTTATCTTTTCCTGCTAATTCCCAATGTGTGCTGTCATTTCTATAAATAAAATTATAAAATAAAATAAAATAAAAAAACAAGGCCTTAGAGTCAGGTAAATGAACCGTTCTCCATCCAAAATAAAAGTAAGATAAACTAATAAATTTTGCTTCTGCATGCATAATAAAGATATCAGAAACACACAAGGCAAAGAAAGTATTTTCACCTTTCTATCTCTAATAATAGCAAAACTACCATCTCCGTTTTTATCCCTATAAAAATCATAAACAAAAATCACTATCAGCTGAAGAGAAAATGATGATTGGACAACAATCTACACATACAGTATGTAAGGAACCGAACCTGATATTACCTTATAGTATATAAGCCATTATCTTCAGGAGCTGATGATTGAGCAACAGCCTACAAATAAAAATATGTTATGCAATAGAAAACATCACAAAGAATGTGAAGAATCCAATTAAAATAATTGATATCAGATCAAAATAAAGAATAAAAAGTATCCGAATGTGCACAAAAGTGTAAAAAGAAAAAGAATCATATCACAGATATATATAGATAGATCTTCATATTATTAATAAAATATCCAGACTCAAATAAAAACCTTCTCTTCACAATTAGATATGAAATTTCTAAGTTATGCAACCGGTGAGGCAATCGCCATGGGAATGTTCTACTGAATTCATTTTAAATTTGAGTGTTACCGTGTCTCTTTGTTTATGAAAAGCACGATCAACATAGGAGGAATTTGCAGTTCCCTTTGGCTTTGGTTGATCATTTGGATCTACGGTTTCTTCCTCTTCGGGTCTTTCATTTAAATCGATAAATAGCCTTCTAGCCGCTCCTTTGCTGTTACCAAAGCCTAAACTTCTATCCATAAAAAAAATAATGAAATAAAGCTACTTCTCCTTAATATAGGTGAAAATTTCTTCCAAGTGACAATGATCGGAAATGTTTATGTCGCCAATTAGAGGATCATGCCATCCGCCCCCTCTAGAAATTTCTCATTAAAGAAGCAACAATTATCAATTAGATTTTATTCTTCTTTTGGATAGGGCATTATAGAACTTTCTCAAATGTTACGAATCGTTAATTGTACAAAAATTTTGGCTAGATTTAGTATTTTCATCCACATAACCATCATGACTTCCATATCATAGTATCTTAATATTTTCATCATTTAAACCTTTGGTCTTTCTTAGTTAATGTGTTGGACCAGAATAACAAGAAAATACACTTTATACACTCACAAGCTAGCACAACATGCAGACATGTATTCACTCTTCAATTCAATCACAAATGTATACTTTCAAACTTGAGTGTTATAACAACTTTGATAAAAGAAATATAAATAAAAGGTTTGATCACCGTATAAGCGTTAAGTTGTGGGTTATCTATAACTTCCACCACGATTTTTATCTTCATACATAAGTTACTGTGTTAGCCTATAAATTTGTACTTGGGATGTTACACAAGAAGCTCTAGAATGTAGAACATGTGATTTGCATAAACATTTTATAACCAGTTACTCAATTTCCAATACTAAATTAATTAAGAAAAGATATATGATTTTAAAACCTTTTAAATTCTAGGGCTACTTTTCATGATGGGTGAGGAGGAGGGTATTCACGTCTTTTTCACAAGCAGAAGATCATGAGAGAGTCCCTATCCCACTTTGTTCCACCTTTTGGTATAGGAGAAAATGTTGCAACTTTTGTCCCATTGGCATTAGTCTAGGTCTCTATGCCACGCATAAAGGGGCTTACTCACTTATCATTTTGCCAAATAAGTCAGAAACCAGGCCGGGCCTTAAGCTCCAGTCATGTACACTTCCAATAAATACTCAAAAGATTACCATTTCTAATCTACAATTGGCACTGCTATTTTGATTATTATTCTATTGGTATGACTGAGTGATAAACTTTTTTCATTTTATCAAGTAAGACAAAACACGATGCTGCAAATGTAACTCAAGCATCATAAAGACTGTCATTTGTTCAGAATGAGGATGTATTATCAATCATGAATGAATCTATGATGCAATTTAGTGAAAATGCGATCTTATAGGGTGCCAGATCAGAATGTATTAGAGCAAAAAGGGCATTCGAACGTGACTCTGAGCGAAACAATGCAACAAAAAAGAAGAATTCATTTTAAGTGTGTATAGCGCAGAGAATTTAAACCTTTGGGTTTGCAGAAACTGAAACCCCAGCAGAAAATGTGGGAACTATAGCGCCGCCACCCATGAGGGTTTGTTGCAGATGGGCAGACGAGGGAGTAACCAATTGATGCGAAGTTTGACCAGGAATATCAGAATTTGAGAACCCATATGGCCGATGAACAGCATAAGGGTAAGCGGAGACAGGACCAGGGGGGAAGCCGTCAGAATTGATTACCACTCCCACTGCCGCACTCTGGTCGGAGGTAAGTTGTTGATGCTTTGACAGGAACCCCCTTCCGGAGGAAGCAACAGGATATAGAACTCCCCCCGCCGCTGATTGTTGATGATGAGTTCTTGAATTCGATTGAAGGGACTGTTGTGGTGGTTGTTGACGTTGTGTTGGTGGTGGGAAAGCTGCCGAAGTGGCGGGTTGGGGATTGTAGAAGGTTTGGTAGATTGATGGGTGTACGTGCTTTCGGGGCCTCTGTCGCGCTACCGATTTAAAGAAATCGGCGGTTGCGGTTGCGGCGACGGCGGTGGTTGTGGTTGTGGTGGTGGGATTTGGTGGGGGTGGAGATGACATTGGCAAGGGTTTCAAAGTATTGAGATCCAGTTTCGACCAAATTGTTTGATGATTCAATTCGAGGAGTGTTGTTTATGGTGTTCGAAAGATGGATAGATTTCTGTCAAAAACTTGAGCGGCTTCTCTTTTGAAAAACATTTGATTTTTGGGTGTTTGTTGTTGAGAAATCTCGAGAAAAAAATAAATAAATAAAAATAAAATCCTAAAATTTTAAGTTAATTTATAATTTAGTCTTAAATAAAAATTTATTAAAGAAAATTTACACGAAACCGCTGTTGTAATCATTTAACTTTTTTTAACTTTTTTACCTTTGTTACCCCATTTAACACTTCTTCTTCTATTGTTACAAACCAACCAAACTAATAAGTTATGTGAAAAAATATGGGACGCGTGTCATAACGTATTACTAACAAATTCACCATTTTCACCATTGTTACAAGGTTAAGCTCCAACACTAGCCAATCCAAGCAACAAACTCACTGACATCTGCCAATCAAGATCGGATTTTTTTAATGTAATCAGAGGACCTTCACTCCAAGATTTTACTTGCTTCGATGGTGAAAAAGTTCAACTAAACATGTTACTCTCTCTCTCTCTCTCTCTCTCGCAGAATGGGTAAAATACCATTTTACCCCTCCATTGTCCCCATATTCTTTGTCTTGACCAAACCCTAAGGTCAACAGAAGTTAACACTCAAGTCAACGGTCCATGTTGACCTGACTCGCCGAGTGCATCTATGTGACTCGTCGAGTCCCCTTGTTTCTCCTGAAATATCGTGAATATCCATTTTAACTCGTCGAGTTATCTCGTCGGCTCATCGAGTTACCCATGTCCAGACTCATCGGGGAAAACCCTAGCCGACTCGTCGAGTTAGCTCATTGACTCAGCGAGTTGCTTAAGTCAGTTTTTCATTGAGACATTTTAAGGCAGATCTACCACGCCACACTCTAGATCTAGGGCGTGTTTGGCATGGAGCTTTTGGAAGCGTTTGGGAGCTTCTAGCTTTTAGCTTTTGACAAAACGCTCCAGTTTAAACAAAAAGCTTCGTTTGGCAGTACGAGCGTTTAGCTTTTAGTTTTAACAAAACGCTCCGATTCTAAAAGCTACTTCATGTAGCTTTTAACAAAACGCTCCGGAGCTTTTGAAATCAATTTCCATAATTACCCTTAAAAATATATTTATATATTTTTTTATTTTTAATAAAATTGTCCTTTTATGTAATTTTATATATTTCAAAAGCTTCCAGCTACTTTTGCCAAACATTCATATAACAAATAAAAGCTACAACTTTCCGCTACCAGCTACACGCTACCAACTACCCGCTACCAGCTAATCGCTACCCGCTTCCAGCTAACAGCTACTTTTACCAAACACGCCCTAGGCTCCCAATGCTCGAATGTCATGTAAAGCTTTGATCTTTACGTTCATGCATGGCACATTTTGCTCTAACATGCCAATACAACTCAACAAAGGGGTTTAAGCACAATAACTCTTATATGGTTGAATAAAGTTGGGACCTTTGGACTCTATGGACCTCACAAGGTCCAGATCTGAAGTCTATACCTCCTGATAGACTCCATGCACTCCGTGCAAGCTTCTTACCTTCCATAGAAGCTCCAAGTGAAGGAAATGCTAGATCCCACAGCCTCTCCTCGTTTCGTTGCTTGAACCTCACTCATTTTCTGTGACAACCCGTAATTTATTTCGTCGCTGTAACCCATTTTCGTTAATAAAATTTATTTTATTGAAATTTTTCCCTTAACTTTTGGGTTAGGCAAATAAATTAATGTTTTTATTTTAAGTGTCAGAACGAAATAAAACCACGTGAAAACACCCCAATTTTTATTTGGAAAATTTTTAGTTTCGACCACGTCGGGTTACGACAACTAAATCGGGTACGACCATAAGCCTTGTTTAACGTCAGTATCGGGTAGATTTCCACCGGGTCTCAAACTCAAACCATATATAAAGTTGAGAGGACCTCATTTGAAGCTTTTTCACTCTCTCTCACTACTCTCTCTCTCTCTCTCTCTACAAACCCAAACTTTGATCCAAAAATCACCCATTCAAGCTCCAAATTGGTAAGTAATCCCTCCTAACTGATAGTTTAGCTTGTTTATCCTTCAAATTTGTGTCTAAATCATCCAAAAGGACCAAAGACATGTTTTTACGGTCCAGGAACTATCCCAAACCGCAAACACCCTTAAATGGGGTTTTGGAGCCCCAAAACCCTTCCAAACCACTTCTGGAGCATAGCAATGACTTAGGGGCTTACATGAATGGACTTAGAACACCAAAAACTTAACATATAGGGAGTAAACATGAGTTTACGGCCCAAGAGCATAATTGGACCGTAAACACCCCTTCTAAGGTCGTAAACACCTTTTAAGGTGTTAAAATGCCCCTTAAACACCTCTTATGCCTTGGAATAATGTCTACAACCAACCACCACTGTGTTAGGGACCTTAAACATGAAAGAAACCACCTCCTTAGGAGATTACGGTCGTAAACCCCCCAAGTAATGGTTCCTGGGCCGTAAACTCCTCTAAAGTGGTCAATGGTGCCCTAACTTCCTTCCATGGCTTGTACATTGGACTTGAATCGCTTATGCTTAACCTAGGACCATCAAAACACACAAGGAAAGTGCATGTGTGAGTTTATAGCCGTAAACTCCTAGTTTACATCCGTAAACTCCTTAAAATGGTCCCTTTGATGTTTTAATCCCTTCCAATGCCTTAGAACTAAACCTAGCCTAATTCCACAAGTGTTGTAAGACCATTAAGCATCCAAGAACACACCACCCATGAGTTTACGGTCGTAAACTCATGGAGATATGGTCATTGGGCCGAAAACTCCCTTAGGAGTTTACTCTTGAAGAGCAAACTCCATATCTAGGCCTTTCACCTCCTTAGATGCAACCCGAATCACTCCTAACACTTGAAATGAAGTGTTTTTCGCGCCTCGGAGTGTACTGTCTTCCTTAATTGGTAATTAAAAGTCTAATTAGATACAATCATGTATCTCTTCATATTACATAGGAACCTCGTGTGTATTCAAGCCCCGAACTGACACTTAGCATCTTAACCGGCACATTTCTCGTCTGGTGAGTTCATACCCCTACACCTTTTTCCGTGTTTTCAATGTTTTCCGGGGGGAATACAAGTAAAAGTACAAGGAAATCTTGTACTCAAACTTATTATTTCATTTGAAATGTTTCATATTTTGTATGCTTTTAACACTGGAAACTGTATTAACCAACCGTTTAACTTGCAGAGTTAGTTTTCAAACTGTTTGTGAAACTCATTATAAAATTGTGACAACCCAAGTTGCCCCGTTACATTTCCCCGTTACCGTTAACGGAATATTCCACTGTTCAAAATTTTCCATTAATGAGAAGTCGTCAAGTTTAATAAACATTTCAATTATGTATGTTTATATGCCGCTAAGTCGTGATAAAAGGAAATAAAATGCATAGCACATATTTCTATTTACTTGGAAAATATTAGTTTATTATCACGACCACTAAATCGGGTGCGATCAAAAGCCCCGTTTAACGGCAGTATCGGGTAGAATTCCACTGTGTCCCGACTCAAAACCCTATGTAAGGGTGAGTGGAGTCCATTGGAGACTTTTTACACACTCTCTCTCTATACTCTCTCTAGACTCGTTTTAGCCTCGAATCCGCAACCAAACGCTTCCAAATTGTAAGTCCGCTTACCCTAGGTTATTCTAAACATATTGATGTGTGTTTATAGCCCAAAAATCGGACTTAGAAGCAATGGAAAAGGAGTTTACGACCTAAGCATCTCCTTAGGCCGTAAACACCCAAAACAAGGTCAAAATGACCCAAACTTGTCCCTAATGGCTTGGAAATAAATAGAAGAATTAGCCTAGGAGTTTTTGCACATTTAAAACAATCATTTTGTGGCATAAAAGAGAGTTTACGGCCCAAGCACATGCTTAGGCCATAAACACCTCTAAACCTTGTTTAAATGTCCCAAAAACACTCCCAAACCACCCTTAGACTTCATACATAATTTAGGGACTTAGTATTTGGGGCTTGGATCAATTAAACACCTCAAAATGAAGGATAAAAATGAGTTTATGGCCCAAGCACATGCTTAGGCCGTAAACTCCCCAAAACATGCCCAAAAGGTGGTTTTTGCCCCCCCAAATGACCTTAGTCTATTTCTATCAAATGCTAGGAAGGATTTAAGGACTTAAACACATGAAATAGAGGGGTAAAAAGGAGTTTACGGCCCAAGAAATTGACTAGGCCGTAAACTCCCCAAAACCCACTCAAATGGTAGTTTTAATCCGCCAAAATAGCATCACACTTCATTATAAATTGCTAGGAAGGTAGTTAGGGCTTAAGACTTCACAAAATCCAAGGTATGAGAGTTTACGGCCGTAAACTCCCATGGGAGTGTTCCTAGGCCGTGAACTCCAATATAATGCCCTTAGAAGCCTCAAATCCACTCATGCCTTTTATGAAAAGTACTTAGAAAAATCCCATGAACAAGCTAGAAGCCTTAAAACACCCTAGAACCCATCACCATGAGTTTATAGCCGTAAACTCATGGTGAGAAGTCCCTGGGCCATAAACTATATATTAAGGGGGTATTCTTGGATAGCAAACTCCGTTCCTTAGCCATTCACACCCTTAAACGCTACCCGGGACACCCAAACACTTATCCAAAGTGTTTTCCGCTCCTGTGAGCGCGTATATTTGTTTAATTAGTATTAAATATACTAATTGTATGTGAAAATATGTTATCATATGTTAATAGGTCATTGAGTGTGTTCGAGTCCTTACGTGGCACCGAACGCCCAAACAACACTCTCGTCGGACCTACTTACACCAGGTGAGTTCATACCCCTGAATGAACCTTTTAATGTTTTTAAATGTTTTATAGGGGGGGAATACAAGTTAAACATGCCAGTTATCATGTCTATCACATGTGATTGATAACCCGCATGCACAAGATTTTACCACTTTACACTGTTTTACCGAGTGGGACACTATAATGATTTTTACTTATTTCATAACTTTTACTTATACGGATTTATCCAAATTCATTCTAAATTGGTTTATGAAAGATCCTCTAAGGTTTTTAAACATATTTTACAAAAGAATACAATTTGTGAATTTCTCTGTA